CTTATAAGAAGGCCCCTTTGGCCAACGTTAAAAGGGGTTCGGCATTGGTTGGTCAGTTAAGGTTGGAGGCTGGCTTGCTGGTTGAGAGGCAAAGGCTCGGAGTTCATTGGGTTCAGAGGTTGGAAATTCAGAGTTTTCCAAGCTGCTCACTCGTTCGAGGCCTTCTCTATCAGATCATCTTTCTAGACATTTGGACCTTGATATCCAAGCTCCCGAACTCGATCACAACCAAAGCTTCTACAGACACTGAAGCTTCAAACCGCAACGTCGATCATATCGTCCAAGGGAAGCAAGCTCGACGCAAGCATTCGAGGGAGGCATCCTACCGCTACCGAAAGAACCCGCATTAAACAAGAAGGGCCGACCCTTCGCTTCTGTTGTATTCTTTCTGTATTTCTTAAAAGGATTTGTAATAACACATTCAAATTAATACAAATCTCACATTGAGAAACCAGGAATTTTACTCCATACAGTGAGCGGGAGATTTTTGGGCCAGAGTTGATTGACAAATCAGTTAATGCAGTCAGGATCATTCGGGAGCGACTTCGCATAGCGCAGAACAGATTCAAGCATTGGGCAGACGGGAAGCGCCGGCACTTGGAGTTTCAGCCAGGAGATCATGTGTTCCTAAATATTTCCCCCAACCGAGGCACCATTAGCTTTGGAAGGCATGGGAAGTTGAGTCCGTGATATGTGGGACCTTTCGACGTATTAGAGAGAGTAGGGGAAGTGGCGTACCGACTTGCATTACTACCCGTCCTGGCTGGAGTGCATAACGTATTCCACATTTCTCAGTTGCGAAAATACGTCAGAGATCCGAGTCATGTCGTAGATTTCTTAGTGATTAAGGTCCGATTCGATTTGACATTCAAGAAGCAGCCAGTGGTGATTTTGGACCGAATGGAGAAGACCCTACGGAATAAGACCGTCTTGCTTGTTCGTGTGATGTGGCACCCAGATTCTCCTGGAGAGTCAACTTGGGAAACTGAGTCTGAGATGCGACAACGATACCCTCATTTATTTCCTGAATCTTAGTTGTCTTGTCTTGTATCTTATTTGAATCACCTTTTATGACTTTTCATATTTATGGATATGCAATATATTTTGAACATTATATGAGCTGAAGTGAATCAATCTTTGTATTTTGTCCTTGTTATTTTAATTCCAAGGACGGAATTTGTTTTAAGGGGGTAGGATGTAATGATCGTAAAATACTAGTTAAAATAGTTTCTAGTATTTTTAAATATTTAATTATTGTTTTTAGAATAGTATTTGTATTTTTGTTGATTTTCTACAATTTTCTATGATTTAAAGTCCAAATTTTATATTTATTTAAATAATTTTAATATTTATAAATTTATTTTATGCTGTAAAAATTTCTAGAATTAATATGTTATGTTATCGGTACTATTATGTATTATTTTAAATAATACTTTGTATTATTATTACTATTAGGTATTATTTCGTGTATTATGTTGAATTATTAATTACGTATTATTAGTGTAAATTATTATATTATTTTAATTATTGTTTATCAGCTATCATATTAGTGTAACATGTACGTTTTACTATGTATATAATTATCCCATAATTATTTGATTTTAAATATAAGTAAATATATTTTATTAATTAATTATTCCAGTTTAATTATACAATATGCGTATATTTTTCGTTATCAACTGTTGTATTAGCACAATATGTACGTTTTGTTTGTAGATAATTATTCTGTAATTATTTTAATTTTTAAATACCCATAATTATTTATTTTTATTATTTATCCTAGCTCTAACCTAATATACTAATATATATATAATATATAATATATATATATATAATATATATATATATATAATATATATATATATATATATATATATATATATATATATATATATATATATATATATAATGATATATATATATATATATATATATATATTATATTAGAGAAAACTGTATATATAATATATATACACACTACACACTTGGTTTTCTAGCTAACCGAAAACTTTACAATCTCATAATATAATAAATGATTTGTTCTCTACAATAGATAAGAACTCAATGTAAGCTCACACTCAATGTTATAACTCTCACAACCCTAATTATACTATATATGTAAATATTATAAGCTCAATGTGGGTGTGTGTAACAATGAGAATAAATAAAATTTAACTCAAGAAGAACTAGTAATAAAATTGATATGAAATACAATAGTAAAAATGCTAGGAAGTTGAGTTAAGGAAACATCTCTATAAACACAAAGAGAGGATGATGAGATATTGAAGATGAACTCCTCAACAATTGATGTAAGCTCCTCTTTGTAAAAGCAAACCCCAAACTTAAAACAAACTAAACCAACTTAAACCCTTATTAAACCTAGTTTAAAAACTTCTTTTTTGTTGTCACTGGTAGAAGGGGTTTGAGGGGTTTGTATAGGAAGAGAAAACAACAGCAAAAACCCCAAAGGAAAAGACCAAAAAGCCCAAGAATTAGAAATATGATTCTGTACAAAAATGACCGTTGGGCGATCGGCGGTCGACAGTGGGAAACTCGCGGTCGACCGCGAGCAACCCAAAAACAAAACTAGGCTCTAGAAAAACATACGGTCGACCGTGGCAGTCGACCACGAAGTTTTCTGGACTGCATCCTGTCGACCGCCACGGTCGACCACGAGCCATCAAGAAACATACTGAGTCTCTGGACTCAGGGGCGGTCGACTCCAAACTGACATATGACAAAAAACATCTTTTGTAAATAGTTTTCTGATTTTGAAACACTGTTTAAAAATATCAAACAAATTCCAAAAAATGTAAAACTTTGAAAAATGATTGTAGATATAATAATGAACATGCTACAAAAAATAATTTTCAAAAAGGACCTCCCAAATAAAAAATATCATCATTTTGCAAAATAGTCCTAAACATGAAAATGTGAACATATGAGTTTTGACATTTTAGCTTAACCATGTTTTGAAACAATACAAAATGATTTTTTAGACTTGAAGAAAGATGTAAACTATTGTTATGAAGACTATAAATAATGAATATGGTATTTTCACAAATACAATAGAATATGAAACATATGAGTATGAATATAAATATATATTTGTTTCATATCTATGAAATTAAACCAAACCAATTTATCCATATAAAAACAAACATGTATGAATATAAATATTTATTTATATGCCAGTAAAAACTTTATTTGTGGATAAACAAAAAGCCAAAATGTGTATATATATATAACTATATATACATAGAAACCAATAAAATGTGTGTGTATATGGTATTGAACTTAAAGTACTTAACACACATAATATAAACTCCTAAACTAATTATACCCAAGCTTGTGATCTTGATCTTCAATAAACTTGACTTGGTACACTTTACGGATGAAGCTTGAAATTGTATTTTTAACTTGAATGTACATTGCTTCACTCCATAATACCAGCAACCTCCATTGGATATGATCGTGAATGCTCGATTCCATCAATTCTCCAACATGTTGTTTATCTACAATAAATAGATAAACACAAACACTAGACAAACAACATTAGTGATAAATTGTTTGTTAAACATCATCAAAATAAAGAGGCCAACAATTTCCTCATAATGTTTCTTTTCTTCACTTTTCTTATCATTATTATCCCACTTCTGGGAGTTATTTTATCTTCTGCCACGACTATGATCAATGTGATTATAAGGCACATATCTGCCACGACCTCGTCCACGATAACAGCTACGTCCTCGGCCTCCTCCACGGTCATGTCCACGCCCACGACCATGATTTTGAGATTTAGTTGCATTCGCTTCAGGGAATGGGCTAGAACCAGTAGGTTGGGATTCATGATTTTTTAATAATAATTCATTGTTTTGTTCAGCCAAAAGGAGGCATGAAATCAATTCAGAGTATTTCTTAAATCCTCTCTCTCGATATTGCTGCTGTAGGAGCATATTCGAGGCATAAAAGGTGGAGAATATTTTTTCTAACATATCGTCATCGACGATATTTTCTCCACACAATTGTAATTGAAAGGTAATTTTATACATTACAGAATTATACTCACTAATTGATTTAAAATCTTATAGCCTTAAGTGAAGCGAGTCATACCGGGTTTTTGGGAGCACAACCAACTTCAGGTGGTCAAATCTCTCCTTCAAATTATTTCACATAGTAAGTGGATCTTTCACAGTTAGATATTCAGTTTTTAATCCTTCATCCAAATGATGGTGAAGGAAAATCATAGCTTTGGCACGGTCTTGATTTGATGTCTCATTTTCTTCCACAATAGTATTTTCAAGATCTTTTGCAGTAAGATGTATTTCAGCATCTAACATCCAAGATAAGTAGTTCTTTCCAAAAATATCAAGTGGCGTAAATTCTTGTTTTGTAAGGTTAGTCATAATGAAAAATGAATTGAATTTGAAAGAGAAATTATACAGTTTACCCAAAATATCAACACGTGCCCAACAATGAATCTAATGGACTTGAAAAATATTGTTTCAATGGTAGAGTCTCGTACTGATAACATATTATGAAACTAATGAAGTAGAGAAGAAAAAATAGACGAGAAGTAGAGAGAAATTTTATTTCATTCGTTCTTCATTGCTATCTCCAAGTGAGGTAGGAACACCTCTATTTATATACAAACTAAGATGATGATACATGAATCATATTAATTATTCATTCATGAACTTAGTCTTTCAAGAACATGCATTATGTTGTTATAAGAAAAAAAATTAATGTACTAGGAGAATATCAACTTTTTAGAAAACTAAATAGACATCCACATTATTTCATAAGAGAAACTAAATAACAGAAACTAAATAAATATAGAGCCTAACGACAACAGGTATGATATATTATTTCTGTTCTCGGAAATGTACCGACGAGTTGTTAGGTCACCGCATAGGAAAAAGCACAAGCAACCGAGCTGTACCACGTTTGTCCGGGCCCCACATTTCTGACCGACACACCCCCGGCCACCCCCCAAACCAATTTTTTTCCCCCCTCCCCATTTTCGTTGGCCCTTCAAAACTCCCAATTACCCATCTCCAATCTCCAACGAACACAGAAATGCGCGCCCTGCGCAACAAGATTGGATCTCAGCGAACACCTGATCGATAAAAAAGAGAGGGGGGTAAAAAACGAGATGCAATCTGTTGTGGAGTTTTGATCATTTGAGATGGATAATTGGAACGGGGAGTACGCGAGGGTTCCCGTATCGAATACCGAGAGCTTTGAGCCGGGAAAGTCTAGGTTTTCTTGTTGCTCTTCGAAATTGTGGGGCTGCTTGTGTCGGTGGATAACTAGGGTTTTGCTTTGCATCTTGATTCTAGCGCTGGCTGCTGTTTTTATCCTCTATGCCGGCCCGTTTCTCATTCAACAGGTGCTTTTTTCCTTTAACCTATTGTTTTGATTCTTTCTGCTTTTGTTTAGATCCGTTCGGGTCAAGATTTGGGTGTAATCCTAGCGTCAGGGTTTGGATTATGTGGTGTTTAGCTGCCTTGATGCTAAAGGTCTGCGATTTGGGAGGAAATAGGAATGATTTAAGATAGAATTTGGGGTTTTGCAATGAAGTTTTTTAATTGATTATTTTCTCCTGTTCAAGCTAGAAGTTATTGTAGGATGGTTGATGCTATCTCAATCTTCGGACCTGGAGGTTAGAGGAGCTCATATCAAGAAAGAGGCCTGAGTTCGAGCGCTAGCGCTCTCAGGACGCATCAAGAGGTATTACCACCCAAGACCCATTTTGGGGCATCTTCACCTGAGAGGTGACCCCATCCCAGGCTCCTCTCGAGGGGCCTTAGACCATAACTAAGGATAACCTTCGGGAGCCATGTTCCACCTTAATTCCTACTTAAGCTCCAACTAAATAGGAATGGATTCAAACCCTGACCTGCTACTGGGCATTTCACCCACCTAACTTACTGACAGCCCCCAGTGGGTACAATGAGTCAAGACAACTTATGTTGATATTTTTCTTCATAATTGCGAAAGATTGTATGAAAATCCTAGAATATATTTGTCACAACATATTAGCAAATGGAATACGTATACAAATGAGAACAAACTACACGCTTCTTAGCTTTAAATGGCATCCCATAGTCACTGACCGAGAGTCAAAACTTTGTTGTCAAGTTGGAAGCTCTTTCCCAACAAAGGTGATGTAAATTTGAGGCTCATAAAGTCAAGAAAAAGGTTGAACAGTAGAATGTTAATGTATTACAGATATAGACTTGACTCTCTGAAAATGATTTTAAAATAAATCTTTCCATTCAATCTGAATAATGGGATACCTTAGATAAAAATATGTTCCATTTAACTTAATCTACATTCTACAGTTGCTAAAAACTGAAAATCATGATAAGAAAGCTAGAAAACAATGCTTTGAATCTTTAAAACCGAAAAAACACAATGCTAAGGGTTTTTAAGTGCTTAAAACATGAATGAAGGTTTGAATTTACGTTTTTCACAATGTCCCAATTGTAGGCTACTGTACAACATATCTAAAAAACTTACATTGTTTTCTTTCTAATTTTTTTTTATAATGTTGATCAAGATGAGTGGAGTAAATTTCTGTGGTCTGTTGTATGCTAAAAGTTTACCATAAAATATAGATGGATAAAAAAGGAAATGCATATTGAACACCTTCCTTGCATGAGTAGTTATAACACAAATTTTATATAATAAAATAAATGCAGGCACTAGGCTCGTAGAAAAACACAACTTAATCATATGATTTTTCATCTATAAAATAAGATTACAGGTGGGAGATCAGGATGGACGGTGTTGATCAAAGACCTAAGCCTTGGAGAATAGATGTTTAAAGGTTCCATAGGAGAAAACTTCTTTGTATAGAACTTGTTCTTCACTGCCCAATATGCACTCATCATAATGGCTGTCAAATATACCTAGAAGAATAAGATATCATGTGTATGATCATTCTTTTTTTACCCAAGAGGAGACATGAGAAATTAACATTAATTTGCGCTTAGTTTCTTCTTAGGTGGATAAAACAATATGGTTGCACTATTTACTAATATAACTAATATAACCTTAGTAGAATTTCTATATCAATGAAATGGAAGAAGTGGATTTATCAAACTGTGATAAGGGTTTACTGTTGGAGTAAACATGAGATATTTCTACCTATTTTAGTGCGAGAGGACTCTTTTTAGTTTATTTATTTATTTATTTTGCATGGCCCATGCCTTAGCCTACTACCTCTTCAAAGTCTGCCCCTCCTGTAGCATTTGATATATGTGGGAATCCTTCGAAATCTAAGGTTTTCTTGTAATTTTCGTGATAAGCATAAGCTCCATTGAAAGTTCTCAAAATTTTTATTTCTCATCAGCATCACATTTGCTAATTACTAAGGGTGTGTTTGGATTTCAATGGGGTTAAGGGAAGTTAAGGGAAACTAGGTGAGAGAATGGAAAGGAAGAGAAGGGAGTTCTCTTCCCCTTGGTTACACCCCATTTTGGGGGGTAACAAATTTTATACTATTAGGGGGTGAACCAAGGGGAACTAGGGTGAATAACTTCACCTCCTAAATGTTTCCAAACAAGGTGAATGGTTCCCCTAACTTCCCTTCACCCTTATTCCCCTCAATCCAAACAAGCCCTAAAAAAATGTTTCTCAGAAAGACCCTACTTCTCTCCTGTAGGATATTTTCTTTCTTGTTTTTTCTCCAAAGTGATCATCATTGTTGCATGCATCATCAACATGCCTATCACTGCGACAAGGATCATCAACGTGTCTTGTACTATCACCACTGACAATATGCTCTTCATTGACATATTCTAACATCACCATTCCAGTATCATGTCTTCCTCATCATCGCCAATATTCATGCGCCTATTGCTAGCACCGATATTATTATTGCACTTACTGCCATTTCGTTTTTCAGGGCCATCATCATTAACCCATATTTCAAATATTTCAAATCATCATTGTTTGTCATCAAAAAATTGCCATCATCAGTTACATTATTGTCACCACTACCTGTGCATTTGTCTCTAGCACTATGATTGTCATTATCGCCATTGTTTCTAACGCACCTTGATCACTACAATCACCGCACAATCATTATTTCTATTATATTCTGCCCTGATTAAATTTATTGTACGACTAGGAGCTGTTTGGGAAAATATGCTCAGAGTTTCACACTTACGTGGACTTCTGAAAGCACCAAATTGCTAAAGATCATTACCTGGAAATATGTACTAAAACTTCAAAACATGGTAATGAGACTTTCAAAATGTGTTGATGTTTGTGAATGATATTTTTGGAAATGCGGTTCATATGTAAATGCTACATTCCTTCTAGAAATGTTTGCATTTTTAGCCCTAGCAATTCAAGGCCCTCTGGTTGCCACATCATCTGAGTTTTGAAAAGAGTAGAGCTCCATACTTGGGGCTTATCCACTCTTTTAGTAACATAAAAACATTAGCTTATAATTAGCAAGAATTACTCAAAGAAACATCTAGTGCCTCCATCTTTGTTGCTTAGTGCAGAAGTGTAATGGGTTGTGAGATATCGATGTGATGTACCTGAGAAGCTCATTCCAAGAGATGTTAGACAAGTGGCTTGGGAGATTATAGATAGAGAGTGTGGATTTATATGTCAAAAACTTTGAGAATAAGGAACTATAAGTAAGCCTGTCCATCCGGCCCGGCCCGGCCCGGCCCGGAAATCCGGGCCCGGGCCGGGCGAAACCGGAGCCCGGACCCGGGTACCCCGGGCCCGACCGGGCCGGGTTCCGGGCTGGCCCGGGTTTTTTTCTTTTAAATTTTTTTTAATCAAATTTTTAAATTTTATTGAAATTTTAAATTATAAAAAAAGACAAATAATAATAAAACAATAATTTTATTAATCACTTAAAATGACATAAATTACAAATAAAAAATTATAAAAATAAATTCTTTATTAATAATTAATAAATCATTTACAAATTATAAGTATAAATTTATTTTGGAATTCATCGCATCACAATAGATAAGTACATCCCAACTAGGTTTTTTTAAGTTTCTTTTTTTTTGATAAAAAAATGCTAAAAATTAGTTTAATATTATTATATTTTATATAATTATGTATTAGTATATACTTCTAAATTATTATGTAACTATATATTATATATACATATATTATATGTAAATATATTGTATATATTTATAAGTTATAACTTGAGAGAGAGAGAGAATCACATAAGTAGCCGTTGCCCGTTGGGCCAATGGGGAAGAATCTTGATACACGTCATTCCTGATCTGCCACCTGAATTTATTTATAGATGAAAAATCATATGATTAAGTTGTGTTTTTCTACGAGCCTAGTGCATGCATTTCTTCTTTTATATAAATTTGTGTTATAAACTACTCAATCCTCCCGCAAGGAGGTGTTCATAGCATTTCCTTCTTTTATCACTCTCATCCTTCTTGGTACACTTCTCTAGCATACAAAGACGCACAGATTTACTCGATCTGATCTTGATCAAGCATATAAAAAAAAATTTTTTTTTTTAAGAAAAGAAAACAATGTAAGTTTTTAGATTGTTGTACAGTGCCTACAATTGGAATTGTGAAAAGTAAATTCAACTTATTCATGTTTTAGATTAAAACCTTAGCATGTGTTTTTTTTTCGGTTTAAGATTCAAGCATTGTTTTCTAGTTTCTTATCATGATTTTTCAAGTTTTAGCACTGTAGAATCTAGCATTAAGTTTAAATGGAACATATTTTTATACTAAGGTTCAATTATTCAGATTGATGGAAGTTATTTAAAATCATTTTCAGAGAGTCAAGTTAATATATGTAATACTCATTCAACACAACTTTCCCTCACTGTTAAACTTTTTCTTGACTTATGAGCTTCATTTCAATCACTTTGTTGGGAGACTTCCAACTTGCACAAAGTTTTGACTCTCGTCAGTTGCTATGGGGATAATTTTAAGATAAGAACGTGTAGTTTGTTCTCATTTGTATAGTACCATTTGCTAATATGTTGTGACAAATATATTCTAGATTTTCATACAATTTTCGGCAAGTTATGAAGAAAAATATCAACATAAAGTGTCTGACTCATTGTCGCAATGGAAGGGATGTAGCTACGCTCTACGCTGGCGCTGACCACTGCCGTGCAGGTAGGGTTTGAATCATTCTATTAGTTGAGCTTAAGTAGGATTAGCCGCTGGCACACACACTCGCGCTCCACGGACAGGTTAATCCTTATTATGGCTAAGGCCCCTCGGAGGAGGCCTGGGATGGGATCTCTTCAGTGAAGATGCCAGCAAATGGGTCTTGGGTGTAATACCTCTTGATCGCGTCTGAGAGCGCATAAAGCAGTGCGAACTCGGCCTCTTTCCTTGATATGAGCTCTCTAACTCAAGGTCG